ACGCATGGATGGAGCCAGAGGAGGACAGGGTTCTACTGGGAGGCCATCCTGCTGTGTGGACAGGGCAAGCCCAGGGCTGGTCCGCAGGCTACGGGTGGGGCAGTCTGCACCCACGCTGCAAGCTCGCGGGGCCACAAGGAGGAGCCCACCAGGGCTGGGGGCACCGCAGGGCTCAGCTGAGAGCAGCTTAGACGGCTCTGCCGGGGAGCGGGCAGCAAGCATATCCCTGCAGGAGGCACACAGCTAAGAGCATCCTGTGGAGGGGGGTTCCTGTGCTCTCCCTTGGGCCCCCGGGCACCCACCACACCCCACCCCTACACACTCACGTGGGGCACCCTTGGCCGGGTCCGGACTCCCCCCCAGGGCCTCAGACAAAACCACACAGAAGAAAAGGGAACTTCAGGAAGCAAGCCATGCCTCTTGGTTTCAATCCTGTTCTTAGTCTTCCCAGGGCTGCCTGGAGGCTAGGAAGCAGGGCTGTGGGCACAGAGCTCAGCCACAAGGAGCCACATGTGTCTGGGACCACAGCAGGGAGGAGGTGGGGTGCAGGGGCGAGCATGGCTGCAGGGGAGCGGCTCCCACGGCCCCAACCATGCTGAGTGGGGTCTGCATGGAGCAAAGACAGAGGGATTGAGGTGGGGACAGCAGAACCAGCTACAGGAGCTGAGGAGCACCAGGCCCTCAGGACCCCATGGAGGGACCGGAGCAGGTGAGCCAGCACGGGGGAAGGCAGGCTGCCCGGAGTCCATGGCACCACCCAGGCCAGGGACGAGGGGGGCATGGGAGGGGCTCACCCACACCAACACTGCTGGACGCACCAGACGCTGACAAAGGGGGGCCTGGACCGGGACCTTCAAGGACCATGACGGGCATGGTGCGCAGAAGCCTGAGGGTTGCCCTTCACCACCTGTGCTGGGAGCCGGGGGCTGGGCCAGCTTGAGCCGCTGCAGGACCAATGCCAACATGGACAGATGGGTCTGAGGTGAGGACACAGGAAGGGGCTGGCTCAGCACAGGGGAGGAGGACACCAGGGGGACTGAGGGTCCTGTCCAGGCCAAGGGAGCCGGCTCAAGACTCAGGGCAGGGTCAGAGGTGTTGGCCATGAGGCCCTGGGCTGCACCAGATGAGCAGCAGATGAGCGGAGCAGACCAGGAGGGGCTGGTATGGCTCCCATGTGCTCAGAACGCAGACAGCAGACAGAGGCTGATCAGGGAGCTCAACAGGCTACAGGAGTCCGGGGGCTGAGGGTCTTGGGCCAAACCTGGGCTAAAGGGTCTGGGACGGGCAGCAGAGGCGGGGCAGCCTTGGGACACACAGAAGTCTGGGGCTGAACTCAGGGACCTGTGGGAGAAGGATCAGAGAGCAGGAGGGGCAGGGGGCTGCTGTGATCCATGAGCTCCAAGGACCAGGGACGAGCGGCTGTGAGTGAGCAGGATACTGGAGGGCCACACAAGCAGGGGCTGCCCCAGGGACTCAGGGGAGCAGACAGAGCTTG